TTTTTTCTTCACCCCCATTAATTAAAAAAAAAAAAAAAAAAAATCAACTGTGTGTGTCAAGTAAACATCAATTATTTCCCTAAACTCTTATGTTTTCCTGCAATTGATCACACACCCTGAGTTAAAAGCCTTGTCAGTCCTTGCTATTTATCAAGCTTGCCGATAAAAGTACACAATCACAGACACAACCACAGACACAGACACTAATTAACAACATTCCATTGTGCCACAAATGAGAAATGCCAAGAGAGAACTACCCTACCCTGCTCCTTACACAGCTCCCGGTTCACGAGCACACATGCACACAGACAGCAGGCAGACAACAATATACAGAGATAATGAATGGGTCTCTAGTGTTTCAGATTTACCTACAACCGTGTCCTTCCATCAGAACTTTAAGAGTGTTTTGCTTCTGGCACTAGCATTAGCAATCCCACAATAAAGACTGTTAAGAAAAATGTTGCTCAACATTAGAGATAGTTAGAAACAGTTAGAAAAATCTGGGTGCTTCCCAGGAGCACTCTGCAAATTACTCATGAACTACTAGATATTTTACAAACTGTGCATCACATAGCTGCTGCCAATGGGTTACACAAGTCTCTGACCAAAAATAAATAAAACAAAACAGAAAATGAATATCCTGATGAAAAGAAGAATGTGTACATCTCGTGTATCAAAGACGCAAACTGAATTTGAAATAAAGGACATGCATATGGAAAGTGCACATATTTGGGAGGGCTGGGAGGAAAGGGTTAAATGCAGATAAACCTCTTACTGGTGAAAATAACATTTGAATTTAATTTTATATCCAGACTATCCGGTCCACAGTCCTTTCATTCCTACTGTGGGAAAATGGGAACTGGAAAAAAAGTCCCACCAAGGAGGCTCTTTGCTTTCCCTCCTCTTCCCAGTTTTTTTTTTGTTTTTTGTTTGTTTTTTTTTTTTACTTTAAAAGTCTGTGATGACCTAAGGAAAATAATAAAACAAAACTGTCCAGTATTTTAAAATCAGCTTTCCCTTGGGTCTCAAAACTGCATCTGTTCCATGTGCACTGAATTCAGCAGGAATACAGTGTACAAGATGACTAAAACATCAGTCTGCAGTGAGGGACAGCAATATATAAAAGTAAATAGAAAGAAGAAGGCTTTAAGAGGTGAATACGTATGACAAAGCTACTGCTTGGTAGAGTTAATTTCTCTTTCAATGTTTCTAGTCTGACTCTTTTCTACACCATTTTTATACAGTTTATACTAGAGCTAATTGTTCCAAATACAGTTTATCATTTAGCCTATCAACTAGGGCTTTACAGGGGCATTTCTATGTTCAGCCTGTCATCTTACCTTGTAGGCAGCTTGTCTCATAAACTGCTTTGCAGGCTGCTTCCAAATAGCAGGCACTGTAATGACCCATCTTACTTCAGTGTTTTCAAAGTCCGAGCCTCCTTGGTCACTGAGCTCCTAAATAAAAGGAAAATAGAGGTGAATGCAAAATGATGGGTGTCAACTTCATAAGAAAACATTATTTTCTGCTGGCTCCCATAACAGTAACTTTCTCTTTTCAATTTTAGTCCTGTTACATCTATGCTACAAATCAGAATTATTGCCAACCTGTCAAGAATGCTTTACTGTGCCAAAAACTGGGATTAGGGTTGATGCCTTCTCAAGGAGTCCTACAGAAAAGTTTATTGCTTAACATGAAGTAGAAAAGTTAGTTTTTCCAAAAGCAGCTCATGCACTCCTGAATATTACAGAACATTTATGTACATTCTTGGTCACAGTGTGACGTTTGCTGTTAGTCTGAAGAATTCACACTTGCATCTTGATTAATACACAGAAAAATATTTGAGGTATCATTTATGAACATTATGTTTTACAATCTGGATTTTTCAATGACTTCTTTATACACCACTTACCTTTAAATCAAATTTTTACAACTCAATTAACAAGGGGAAGTTACAGTTAAACCCTTTAAAAAAAAAAATGACTGATTGCGCCTTGAAAATTTTGCTTTAAGCGAACATTCAAGACTAGTTTAGTTCTTTTATTGTCCTTTTTTTTTCCCTTAAAAAGAGGAAAGTCTGTATTGCATTTGCAAATTAGGTGATATACTGACATGTTTTGGGAAAGGTTCCAAGTAAAATGTCATTACCATATGTCCTATCTAAACCTCCATCCAAACAGGGAAAGGTTCAGAAAGGTGAACAACGGGCCTTTAGAATGTAAAAAAATGTTTCTGCATGTGCTGTGCCAAGGTGTTGTGTTTGTTCAGCTATGCTGCAGTTCAAAAATCCACGCTAGAAAAGTAGTACCTTTATACCGCACAGGGCACTAGGAATGGACAGATTATAGTCCAAAGTAACAGTTCATTTAGATCGCTTGTCTAATTAGTTTCAGCATGCACTTGCAAATCACAGGGATTTATTTATTAACATTGAGAAAGGATGTAGCCCTAAACAGGCAGCACAGCAAATATATGGGATTGTACCCAACAGCATTCATATTCACTAAGAATTTCCCCAGACTATGCACAGGTTCAAGTCTGTGACTCCACAATCAACCCCAAAATCTAGTTAAATAAGCCTTTGACAAGATGAGGAATTTGAGTTGTAATGGTAGGATTGTTTCTCTGTAGCCATAAAGAATCGAGTGAGATCTCACAGACAAGAAGTGAAACCCATTCAAAAATGTAGGTTAGTTTTTAACAACAAGGCTATTTTAAACAATTCTTGCTTGGATGAATATTCTGATTTGACCCAGCAACTACTATGCTTATGTTGACATTATAGCGGCGCATTTGAAGCCAATGTGTACTTAACTCGCATTTGGCTGTTTACATGAGATTTAAATCTCAAAAACTGTTTACTGGGGACGTGTATTTCACAGGAGAACATGAAAAACAATCTTGTGACGCAAGAAGAGTATTACAAGAAATGAGTATTGCAACATTTCAAATGGGAAATGAAAAAAAAAAAAATGCATTTTCCCTACCAACACCAGCCACAGTAAGAAAAAAAAAATAGGAAGAAAAAAAAGGCAACATAAATGGAGGCAGTCCATCAGAACACAGTATGAATTTACTAATTAAACCCCTAACAGATGTCTGTCTTACTTTTTTGGTTTTCCCTAATGCTTGTTAGATTTTCTGCACAAACATGCATTCAGGATCAGGGCAACCAAATAACATCTCACAGCACAACATGAAATTCACCCCTGCAAAGGGTCAGCACAGAGCCAAAATACCATAGCCTAATTGCAGCTCTTTGGCACACACACTACAGTTTAACTGTGTAAAACAGAATAAAGGAGTGTTGTGTCAAAGGTACCTGGGTTGGTTTGGGTAATGAAGGATATATATCTGTGCTGGTGCAGAATTCCACGTAGGGTAATCACTGCAATCAAGTGGCCTGTACAGATCATTGCACTGGCATAATTACACTATTTCCACCAGGTTAGCCAGCTTGTACACCTCAGCAGGTCATCTTTGTACAGACTTACAGTGAGATTCAAGTCACCAAATTATAAATGAGCTTTTAATAATCTTTCTACTATAAAATAAATCCAGCTCATCCGACTTCCCTTTGCTTAATCAGTGAAGACAAAGTCGGGTTGGGGCAGGAGACATCAGTAGGTGCCCATCCTATTGCGTTTCACAGTGCCAACTCTTTAACATGGGAGAGAACCTTGCGTGAATACAAACAATCCATCATCCCAGCAGCAGAAGTGTAGGGGACAAGGACAGGACCCAGTCTCAAATTTAATTCCTGAGCTTCAGCTCCTGCACTTTTAAATTTTCTTTTCAAATCAACGTTTTTTTATGAAAAAAGCAGTAGAAAATATTTAAGCCGGTAAGAAGATATTTAGAACTCTGCATCACAGTGATACACTTACTGTTATTGAATCAAGCATCCCCTGTGCAAGGGGAAATCACTTCAGGCTATTGTGAGCCCTCCAGAGTCCACAGCCTGCCTCGAGTTTCTACAGCTGCCTTGCTTTGTTTACATCAAATACTACTGAGGTCAAAGCTTGGCAAGGTTAGCAGTGTTAAGCTCACATTTATACCAGTTATAAATACAGAAAATCTAGATAAGGAAGCATTACCCTACCTTTAATGCCTGTTCCTTAAAGAACTGCAGTGCGTAAGCAAATATCTCAAGTGCTTTGACTTTTTTGCCATTTGCAGCTGTCAGGTCTGTCTCCATGGTAAGATTCTACATGAAAGAAAATAACTGGAAGTTATTAAAAGGAAAAGGTAAACATGAAATTAATTCCCACTGCTTGAGGAAAAGGAATTCTTCTTTATCCACCTGGCTAGGAAAAAATGACAAAATTGTTCTGAAGAGGATCTAACTCATCACTTGAATTTCCTGGAGCATGACATTTGCTGCTTATTTTAGACTTTGTTTTTAAACACCTATCATGTCTACAAATAACTGCAGGCAGAGAAAGAAACATGGACTAAATATTAAATAATTACAACAAATGTATTTGTAATTAATTGCAACAAAGCTGCATATGCAAGATATTTAATCCAAGTTAAGAGTTAAAAGCACAGATTTTTGGCTTCCCATCAACACACGAAACCAGAAAACACCTCAATACAGAAAGTACTGGCCAAGTCCCAAAACTCCAGAATGGCTTAGTTTAAAGACAAAAATATAATCGGTTGGAATAATGTCAAATTAACAGCATGATTTGCACTTGCAGTTTTGACAATGAACTCTGGGTAAATTTGCTCCTCTGCACTAGAGTTCACTATGGCTCTTACATTCTACCTCTGCTTTCTTAGTAAATATATAGAACAAACCGACTTCATGGAGACTCCCTAGACAGCTATGAATTTCACCCAGGAAAATTAGGACATCTAAGCAAAGCAGATTGAACTTCTAAGATCTAGAAAGAAGGCTGGCAAAATACACTTGCCAAATGGATTGAGAAGCAAAATGGATCATAACGTTAACTGAGAAGTTTGATTTACTTTATTTACTCTCTAAACTTAGAAATAGAGCTGCTTCACATCTAGTTCACAATCTTTAGGCAAAATCTAGCACTGTCCATAGGAAGATGATTTGAGTAGCAAATGCACAATTATCCAAGAGAGCTGGTTATTACTTACACCAGTGGTATGTAGCTTCATCTTAAACTTTTCAAAATACAACCAGTGCTTTGATTCAGTGGGATCCAAGTCATGGTAGAAATCTCTTGCTGCATACCCAAAGCTGTGAAACTTTCTCTCTGGTGTTAGGAGAATAGTAGTTGGTGTCTTCTGATTGGATACGCCTGGATCTCCACCTTCCCATCGTCTATCCAACAAGTGAAACAGCTTTAGTAACTGATACTAATGTTTAGAGCAGCAGAAAAAAATAGTATATTGTGAGAAAAACAATCCGGTGGCAGATTGCACAGACTGCTTTCCCCTCCAAAGACACTAATTTCAATCCTTATAATACCAAAACCAAGTGTTTTTATTCACATCCAAGAAAAGAGGACTGTAATTTTAATTTCAGACAATTCAATAAATTTTGCAGTTAGTTGTATAATTTTTAAGGACATAATCATACTCTGTCTTCGATAAGAATCCAGGTTCCTTAAAGTAAGCCACACACAATTAACAAGGAAGCAGATTACACTTACATTTTCAAACTAAACATACATATGTAATAAATATTATAAGGAAAAAAAAGATCAAGTAATTATCCAAGAACACTACAAATGAAAACCCAAATCCTCAAAATGGCCTACCCAATTGTCAATCAGACTTCATGCATGCTTACTTGTATGGGATATTTTTCCCCATTTTGAAATAGGGACCTGTTTAAGTCAGCTGAACACCACTGCAGAGAAGTTGATGAAACCCCTGTTTCTGCCACAGAATGCTCTCTGAAGCAAGACAAGCCAGTTCAACCAACACCTCTTCACGTGCCTAATTTCCTGGACACTCTGAAGATATGTCTGCAGATGTTGAGCTCTCTGCGTTGCACTCTCTACTCACCTGAAGTTGATGGATTTTCTGTTTTAAATGCCCAAAATGCTGTAAAAATTTTAGTCTGTCAAAAATAAAGCAGGCTCTCCCAACCCCCAAGTATCTTATAGGCACCAAAACATTTCCCTCACCACCATCCATTAAAACAGTGAATAAAACTATCCTAATCTTATCAAGATTGTGAAGGTATCTTCTGGAAGACCCAAGAGGCACAAAGGTATTAAGGCAAAAGCAACACAGGGCTTCTTTCACAGAATGGATAAGGAAATAAGTAAGAACAGCGAATATGGGAACAACCATTAAATGCAGCAGGAAGTAGGGGGGCATGGGGGGCCAACAAGGTCAGACAGTAGAAAGTTGTACCACAGACACAGCTGTGAGCATTCTTGTCTTCTCACTTCTCCATCACAAAAAAAGCAGAATGGAAGAACAAGAAACTCGCATTACTGTTCCCTCTCGCCCCATATACATGTACTTTCAGCATGGGAAACAAACACTTATCAGACAACATTTTCTTAAAAAAGCATCAGTGGAAAATCTGCTTTATGCTATCAGCCATAATCATAATACGGCTCAAACAGGAGCCAAGTTAAGATCACACAGGCAACTGCATTCATTATTAAACCACATGCTGATTGTTTTTTTCTAAAGATAGCAAAACACACTTCCATAATATACTACTGCCAAAGTTCTTGTTCTGAAGCACAAAAAGATTGCCTTGTTCTGTGGTACTTGTTTATGTGACAGGAAGATTACGTAGAAAAAAATCTCCTTTTCCTTTTCACTCTCAGAAAGTCGAACCAATTGAAAATTAATTGACCTCTAGACCAAGGCAGACAACTGACATGGAGAATTTCAACCTAAGGGGCTAATACTTGGCAAAGTAACAAGGACCGGGATCTTCTGAAGTGCCGGGAACCCTTCAGACCATTCAACTAAATCAAACAGAGCAAAATCTGCCCCTTTTTGCACCAGCAGCAGCGATGGCAGGGAATCACCACATGTCTATGAATTTACTTCAGTATAGAGGGCAATTCCACTGCTCTAAAAACAGAAAGAGTATGACGGGAAGTGGAATGATTTCCACCTTCATCCACTCAGAAAAAGCTTTCCGAAATGTTCCTAGTCCCGCTGCTCAGCCCCTAAGCTATTATCAGCTGGCAAGGGCTCTGCTCCAGGTCGTTTCTTCTAACCTGCTGCTAGAAACGTACTTGGTCAACTCCAAAGTCTTTGAGTAGGTGTTACAGCAAACAGAGGAGACAGACTGGTATCGTTTTCGCTTGGAATCATTAATGATTCATTCTGAGTCACCAGTGGGAAATTCCATAAATAGGATGTGGCTAATAACAATACTTCTTTGTTTTTCATTACGGCTAGGCACATTTTCTCTTTCCAGAATAAGTACACTTAAGGTGCAGTTTAAATGAAGACAAATTGATGCTGAGTTGTACGGGCTGATATTTTCAAAGCCACCTAGAGAATTGGATGTCCACTTCCTGATGAGTTTCTGATGGAAACTAGACACAGTAACCGCTCAGCAAGTTCTAAAGTTCTCAGCCTGTATTACTGTTCAGTCACAGAAAGAACAATAAGGAAACAGAAGGGGAAGTCTGACTTCACCATTTGCAATCAGAGCTTGAAAAATATTCCTGTGTGACATCTTTTCTAGAGAGAAGCAGCTACAGACAAAGGCATGTGCATGGTAACTCCTGACTGGGACACTTTCTCAGGTGGACCCCTAGCCTCACTCCAGTTAGTGGAGGCTTCTAGTCAGTAGGGCTAGGATTTCAACACCTTCGTTTGCAGTTTTCTTTCATGGTCCCAATACAGGCAAAATTATGGTAATAACGCTCTTCTTAGGGGGAAAAAATGGAAATGCCTATTAAAAGTGTGGCCTAATACACGCCAGCAGTACTCTCCAAATGGTGGTGGTAGTGTTAGGTTAACGGTTGGACTCAATGATCTTAAAGGTCTTTTCCAACCTAAATAATTCTAAATGCATGTGGTGGATATTTTCTCAAAGCAGGGTCAGAGCTAAAAAAATCTATTCAAGCAGAACCCAAGGCAGATTTCTGCCTAAATTCAGACACGAGACCAGTTCCTAGGCTGATATAAAGTGCAGTAGCTCAACAGAGCAGCATAGACCCGTTTATAGCCACAGAGGATCTGACTGTTTATTAAAAGTGAAAATAGAGAAGAGGAAGGTTAGTGTGGAAAGGATCGCAAGGTTATACTAAGGTTAGAGAAATGCCCTTCCTTACACATGAATCTGGCTAACAGACAGAGCAAAAAGAGTGATCCATGCAGAGTGACACAAATTTGATCCAGAGCTGCAGCGTAACAGTCAAGGAAACGAAGCAGTGGAGTCATCAAAACTAGCCGAACGCTGCTAGGAGTGTGTATGCAGAAAAAAGGCAGGCATGTGTCTGCCAAGAATTACAATCAAACAGGGAAGAGAAGGAAAAGGAAGAACCTGAAGGCTGAAGTAAAGTTACACTGAAAAAAGACCACATTCTCCCTCCTTCCAAAGACAGGCTGCAATTTGTTTCACGATCACATGCATTTTCCCTTTTTTTTTTTCTCTCCGTTTGTGAAATACTTACATTCAGTTTGTTGCTATTTATCCAGCAGCCAAAACATTTATAACTTCACGTAAGTGCACATCAATCAATAGGAGTTTTTCAAAACTGTGTAAGACCTCGTGTATTCCCTTCAAAGGAGACATTATTAACTTGTTCTACAGCACCGAACTGTCTTTCATTACGGCTCTGGCACTGCCCTGCCCACTGAAGTGCTTGCTGAACTCATGGCAAGGCTGTTCATATGCATTTACTCACAGTCTCAAGGTATGCAGAAAATAGCACTCATTGTAACATATACTTCTATGCTGCAACAAGAGCCTGAAGGTAACCACAGCTATCTTTACAGAAGCCATGGAGAACTAGTAAGAATTGACAGGTGTGAAGCATTACCTAAAATTGATTAAAACAGTAACTAATGTTATGCAATCAAGGTAAAGTCATTCATCGATCATCTAAAAACACACACCCAACTCCAAACACATGCTTTAGTCTACTGAAGTGAGTGAGGCTACTCATACATATAAAGCTAAGTATATGCTTAAAGAACTTGGTTAGGTCAGTGCCTATAAATTCCTTTTTTTTTTTTTTTCAAGTATTGGGCATCACAGCAAATAAACACACACAGTCAAAAACATGACTTTGTCTACTAATTACACAACTAGAATTACAACTTTGCTGATACTACACTCAAACTTGGTACTAAAGCCCTGTGTGTTCACTCTTTTCTGAAGTAGGACCTTCTAAATAAACCCATCTTAACCTTCATTGAGAAATTTACAGAAAAGCAGCTCTGTTAAAAGGCAGTCAGAAATCTAAATGTCTGGAAAGGATCAACACTAAGGACGGAAGGTGGAAAAAATGTTAGGAAGCAAAGAGGACCATGTATCATTGGTATGCTTTATTTTAATGTAAACATTCTCGAGTGTGGGCGGGAAGTTACATTTACTCTGCTGAAATATTTGTAAATTATCCTACATGTAAGCCTCATTATAAACAGAGTTCGAACTTCTTAATACCTTCTGAACTACCTAAGCCTTATTTTGATACATATACCATTCCTTTCATTGAATTTCATGATTTCATGTGCATTTATAAATAAATATTATATAAATTATTTCATAATTCAGTTTCAGCTAATTGTTGTTATTAAAATATTTTCCATTGTTTGAAATACCTGTTGGAAATCTTGAATACATTTCCCCCCCAAAGTATGTTCCTCCCTTCCAGCTGGAAATAGATGAATTAATTTATTTCATTTCTTTTTACTTCAGGATCTCATATAATATCTACACAGGTCTGAAATCACAATCATGCTACCATTATTGCATAAGGAACAAAATATGGCATTTTGAACCGTAAGAAGTAAAGTGTCATTTAAGATTTGGAACATACTCTCAGCTGGCCACATAGCGCCTAGATTTCAGTGTCTCAGTGATCTACACCAGGAAGTCTAGTACCCTGGAAGGAGAATCTAGTCTGTAATTTACTGCAGTGTAAGGTGAACCCAATGGCAAAATCAAGTCCTAAGGTAAAATTTTGAGTCCAAAGGGCTTAAAGCACATCCCTAAAACCAGTAAGGATTTCACATAGTAAAATCTCCAGACAGATTATAGGAACAACACAGTATATAGGATTTAGGCTTGCTCGGGTACAGCTTCAGAGATGTCTTCCCTCATTTCATCCAACTTCTTTAAGAAATTTGATTAATTATTTGCTGTCAAGAGAGAACAGGAATTGATAAACATGGTTCTGACTCCACAACCCTGCAACCTGAGACAGCAATACATGGCCTGTCCTTTGACTTCTAGCCTCATGCAGCTTCCTGTGCTGTTCACTGAACAATAAGTGGATGGGATGCAGAAAAGACCTTGAAGCATTACTTAGAATAGAATAGAACAGAATCATTGAGGTTGGAAAAGACCTCCAAGATCATCGAGTCCAACCGTCCAACCGTCAACTTGTCCATATTGAAAATGGTAGATGTCTTTGTAACTGGATGGCCTAATACCAATTCTAAAATTTACGTCCCTTTAGACAGTATTTCACATCACCCGGTTGCATTAAATCTCTGAAATACTTTGCAACCGTATACAAACCAACTATGCAGGCTGACTGCACAATCAATACTGTCTGCTGAGATTTAGAGACGTGCATTCAGCTAGCATCTTTGATTACAAAAATTACAGCATATGACACTGCACTGCAGCAAGTTAGTCTTTTTGCCCTTTTGTTCTCAGTATTACAATGCTACAAACAGTACATTACCTATTGCTGTAACAGCAGCTTTGTTTAGAAGAACTTCTATGACTAAGCTTTTCATACATACCTTGTTTATGTCTGAAGTCATCTGTATCTTGGTCTCGTTACAATATAGTCATTTTAAAAATACTTTAATAAGAATAGTATAGGTTTTTAGTTATTAAAAAAATCTTTTAAAAAATAAAAAACACTATAAAAATGGTTTGTAGGACAATCCTTTCATGTACCTGCCATAATAGTTTTTGCATTTGTGATTGCATTAGATTTATATGCATAGATTTATATTGTGTTGATTTAATCAAGAAGTAAAAAAAATAAACCCCCCTACATCTAAAATCTGTCCCTTACACACATATGATACAGAACAGATTTCACATCAAACCTTAATTTTCACATTCATGCGTTTTCATTGCTTATTTCCCAGTATCACTGGTTCATTATCAGAGATTTGATTCAAATTTAATGCTAAAAAGCTTAAATCAGCCACATGAACTACCAGTTTCTGGGTACAAGTACCTAAGTGTTGCACACACAACTGTATATAAGCATGATTCCAGGGGACATGCAGCTCCTGGGAAATGCCATGACCCTTAATAAATGTATAGTTTCTCTCAATCTCTGAGATAAAGGCATCCTGACTTAATAATTATCACTGCTCCCTGAACAATTTTAAATACTCACTGATCCCTCTTTTTACTCATGTCATCTTGTAAACTCAACAAAATAACAGAGAGAGGACATGTTCACATTATTAAAGCAAATTAGAATACAATAAGATGCAAGAAAAAACTATAACCATAGGAAAGGTGTACACCGTGGCAACGCTAGACAAATCTAGACACTTCAGGCTCTGTAAAAAGTATCTATAGCTACTGCAGACAACCCATGTTATCACGATCGAAAACAAAATGCTGCATTGCAGCCCTTACCTCATTACATGAATACATTCTGGTTCCTTGGTGAAGCTGTAGGCGTAGCCACTGGATGTTGTGCCAAAATCAATAGCCACAACAACAAGAAATAACTGTTCTACAGCATCATCTGCATCAGAGTCCTTCTGTTAAATAGCAGAAACAAAATAGACATTGAGTCACTGATTAGAATAACTGTAACCTGTCTTACCCTGCAGTATTTCTGCTCTCTGAGACATGCATATCTCTTCAGTGGAAATAAGGACTTCCCTAAAGCTGCATTTGTGACCAAAGCTGATACCAGAAAGTTCCATATTCCAATGGAAGTGGAAATTCAATATACAACTCAATGTATTTGCTGGAGCCTTTTATACATAACCTTCTGAATCAAGAGTTTCCTTCAAACACTAGGTTATTGGTTTGGGGGCTGGTTTGTTTGGTTTTTTTCCCTTCTTAAATTGATCAACTGAAGAATATGTTTATATCCATCAATGTGGTATATTTGGGACTTATTTGGTGGTTTTGGGAGTTATCTATGTCATAACCTTGAACATGAGGTACTACTACCATTCAAAACTAGTGGAGACAGAACAACCCAATACAGCAATAAGCTTTATATCCCACAATAATTATTTATTTATGAAGAATTTACATAACACTTATTTTGTAAGCACTATACACATTCTTTCCTCCTGCCTGTGCTAGAATGTGGAAAGCTGTTCAGCTGCTTATAGTGAATCTGAAACTTCTCCCTGCCTTTTACCTGTAATCCTGCCATTCCTGAAAAGCACAGTCAAGGGCAACGTGGGAACGTTAACTAGAAGAGGTAGAAGGGTTACGGCCCAAATCATAATGCCGTGATATAAAGCACGAATAAAAAAGGAAGTATACCACTCCCCACTATGCTGTTGCCTATCATAAATCCTATATAAAGGAGCAATAAGTAATGAACAGCAAGGAACCACTGTTCACATGCTGATGGTGGCTAAAGCACTAAGAGCTTAGCAAGACAGGAGGAGAACAAGCTGGAAACACTGGTGACAGGGCTGTGTGCTACAGGCAGCTAGATAGTGAAGGAGGATAATACACCCATCTGCACACACATCATTTTGGCAAAATCACCATGGAACAGACATGTTGACCTATTACTATACAGGTCATGTCTGAATCCACCACTGCTGCTCAGCCTGTACCCTCAGTAACATTTTGAAGCAATTGTTATTCTCTTTTACAAAGAAACTGCCAAACGTCCTCACCGTATGAGCAGTGTTCCACCATCTGCCTCATATATCTCTGTTATCTCCATGCCTGCTACTTCCAGCACCTTTCTATTGTACCCCTACATCTTCCAAGATTATCCCATAGGCCTGCTACTTAAAATGGAGAAATGAGAGTAGTAAGGTTTGCTCTCAAATAATGAAAGACTTGTTTGGATTTTCCTAATAAATATTTTCAACTGGAGCAATATGTTATTTGTATGTCTTCCTCAAAGAGTTTAAGGAGCAAATCTAAATGAAAGAGGATATAATTCATCAGTATGACAGAAGTAAAAGGGGGAAGTTCTAGACTATATGGGGAAAGAAGGGAAAGAAGCAAAAATTTATGAGAGCGCACTCTTGAAATCCTGAAGAGGGATGTCATACAACTCTGAACTTGATTCAGAAAGCTAAGGAAGAAACCTGACAAGGGTAGCAATGTGTTGTGAACATGATCCCTTGCAATATCGAGAAATACACTGTGCATATGCTGTGTTACAGATGATGCAGATGATCTTAAAAACAGATGTGACTTAGTTTTAATGGGAGCTTGTCAACAAAATGAACATGATGTATAAGAGATTAAAACACACTACCTTTATGGGGCATTTGCTTGCTTCTAAAAGCTTACAGAGGTGGCTATTTTCCTTAAGAAACTAAAACAGTTCTATTTTGAGCTTTTCTCTCTCTATGTTGGAGGAGATTCTTTTCTCTGAGAATTCAGATTTCACTGTTGAATATCATATATATCCTTCTTTTTTTCTGAACAGAATGAGACTTTTCAGGGGCTGCCTAAACAAATCAGTGATAAAAACAGGGACAGAACTTGGGAACCCTGAGGATCAAGAAGACCCTGCATTCGATATAAAAATATGCAGGAGCAAATCTATCAGCTCAGCAAGTAGACAAAAAAAAAGCAAAACCGGGACCCCAATGAAATGAATGAGAGCTCTGTCACCCATTCCAGTGTGACCAAAATTTCATGCCTATGGATAGCATAAAAGGGATCACTATGTGAGGAAATGACAACTTTCTAAAGAAATTACGTCCCACCGAACAGGCAGGAGAAAGCAAAGTCAGCATACAGTATGTTAAGAGTACATTTCTTACCACAATGTGTGATGGAGACAGTGGAGTTATTCCAGGGTCTCCCAAACTTTTGGCTGGTGATGAGTAAGCAGATGTGGAAACTGCATCTGAAAGGAAACAAAAATTCTTCAGTGTCAGTAAGCAGAATGAGTAAGATAGGACAGTTGCTTTGCATACTGCTATACTATTTTCCTGTTGTAACAAATCTGCTAAAAAAGAAAGCAAATTCCACAGCTGCCACGTAAAATATATTTTTTGCCCTTACAACATGCTAAGACAACAACAACTGCAGTTTTGGTTTTAAAATGTTTGTCTGACCTTAATGACTAACTTCCATTTTTTTGCCTGTTACATTACCATGTATAATTTTAAAAGTCTTCCTAAATATATTCAGAAGTCATAGGTGATACAAGCAGCTTGAACACTATACACTCACATTAATGGCCTAAGATTTAAATGTGTGAATGCAGAAACTAAACACAAGTTGTGAGATCAAAAAAGACAGACTCATTTTAAGAGAAAAAGAGGAGTTGATATCAGTTTGACAACCCACTAAGAATACGTTGCAATTATTCCATCATGAACCTTTATTCTGAAACTTTCCCAATACTGTCTCTGGTTTTATTCTTCAATACACTCTGCACTGAAACATCTTGCAGCTGTTAATATTACTGCAGGACAGAATCCAGCTGGGAAAAAGGAAATATTATTAACAAATCATCAAAGAAATATTTCTACCCTGCATACAATACTGAAATTTCATTTAAAGGAACATACCAAATGAGTTACAAATACTGTAATGCACTAGTTATATTTTTCCTTCTTATATTTACCCCATTAATGATAGAAAAGGAAATGGCTTATTAAAATAATTAAGCACTGATGACTCAGATGGATTTATAGATAGTATATTCTCTTATGAAAACTGCAATAGTTTATCAAAATGGAACGTAGAAAAGGTGCCACACACCCTGTCCATGCTCACACCTCTCTACCCCCAAATTTAAGCCTTGAGTTTACTGAATTCGCTTCTGCAGAATACAAGCTAATTAGATGTAAAGCAGAATTATTTAATAAGTCTCTAAAGATTAATAACCATAATAAATATTAGATAATACATTTAGACATATTTTTATCACCTACTTGGATGTATCACACAATAAAATGCATATTTATGTATAACATGTAATTCCTAGACATGACTGACAAGTCAGAGCATTTTTCTAAGATGACACAGGAGCTGCTCTCCAAGAAAAGACCTTAGAACTACTTAATGAAGAATCCTGTTGTTCCTGGTAATCAAGTATGTGTTGTTTCCCATGGAAGATGCAAAAACTCTGCAGTAGACAACTATGGGATAATCTGCCCACAGATCATCTTCCTCCAAATCTTAATATTGCTCTTGTAACAACGCTTATTTCTGTTCCAAGTTCTAATATGCATGTTCAGCCTGATCTTCAGAAGCATTTGCAGACGCAAAATATTCACATTTCCTATACAAGTTCTTTAAGAATGTATTATGTTACTCCTCTTGTGATAAAGTACAAAAAGCCACAGGCCAAATGTGACAAACACAGAACCTACTCGGTTCATTAAGATGTATTTGGATCAGATGCTGTTATCAGCCTCAGATGCTATTATCAGCCTCCTTCATGCTATTTCTTCCTCTTTTCAAAACAGATTAACTTTTGTACCATAAATATGGCATTTTTCATTGAATTGAAGAACAATATTTCAGCACAGGAAAAAAAAGGAATTAGTAACAAAACAAGTTCCTTGCACCCTGCTGTCGTTCCTGACTGGACCAGAACCAATACTTCCTGAGCGGACCAGGACATCGCAATACTGATGCAACATCTTTGGAAACTGGTACATTTCCCCCACTTAGGATGCTGGCTTTGGAGCACAAAAATGTAGACATCAAACCACTATCTATGTGTTTTCAGTGTTTCTCTTTGTTACTAATTCTTTTCATTACCTGTTTCAGCACTCATGTTTCAGCGATCTATTTTCCAGCCTGTCTTCAGTTATCAGCCTGGGTGTACCTTGAGAAGTTATGTATAGCTCTGTATGCAACTCAGAAAATCCTGTGTGGCAGTATACGCATTTTTTTTGTCTCTCGGAGAGCAGTGATTAAATAACCAGAGCAATATTCATATTCATCCAATGAAACTGTGCTAACTTGGGTGGTGTTCTATCAAGAATTTATTCGACCCAAACTTGTGATAATCCAGAGGTTTAAAATGTATACAAGGACACTCACTGTATCCACAAGTATAAAAATATTTGCTAACAAATAAAAAATGTTAAGCTGAGATCAGAGGTCTGTCTTAGCTGCCCACAGAAAATACCGCTTAAAACAGAAAACAGATATTTTCATCAAAAATCTTTAAACTAAATTGTCCGTTTCAGTTTCAGAATGCTCTTGAGAACTCCTGCATAAAGGCTGGATTTGTGGAAGGGCTAACTTTTTCTAATTCTCACCAACTGCTCAAGGAAGGTTAAGCTCTTGGTGATTTATCAATATTTTTTGACCAGAGGAAAAAAAATCCTTCCAAACCCACAACCTTTCTGCACCATATTCACCGCTGCTCCTGCAAATACCCAGCTAAACACAATAATTCTACAGTAAGTCCTACATGCCACCAGCCTAGAGTTTTGTTGGATCAAGAGAGGAGAATCATGGACGGCAATGCTACAACCTCTAAAGTAGCACACTAAAATTTTAAGCAAAACGTTCTGTTACAGTGATTCTGTAGAGTTGCTATCATGCTGGCAGAAGCAGCAGTTGCATTACATTGCAGCTCGTTTCATGAGACTACTAACTAATCATGTGCAATAATTGGGGCAGCCATAATTGTTATATTGTAACTCAGCTGTTAAAAGAGGCCCTGACATTACCAGAGAGTTTGCAGAGCTAATAAATGAATGAGTGTAGTTCAGAATACTGGGAACTTAAAAAAGTCATTTATCAGAGCGGTTAGCATTTACAGAAAATGGCTTGCAAGCCAGTCACCCTGGATTTAACGCCAAGAGTTCTTCCAACAAGTAGTGAAATAGTTGTTAAAAGCAAACGAAATTAGGAAATTCCTAACATTATACTATTTACCCTATCTAAACTGAAAGGTGTTAAAGTATACTTGTCCAATGTGGGAGCTTTATTATTTTGTTGAGTTAGTGTCTGCTTGGGGAAAAAACGTGCATGCGTCACAATTTTTACAACTGTGTTCTGAAGAGCAGAAGACGCATGGATATTCCAGGATATTTAAAAATCTCTTATTTCTAAAGGACTGTGATTGGTTGATCTGAAAGAAAAAAGCATCTGTTTCAAGCTCATTCTCAAGTCAGAGAATGACTAAAGGGTTGCAAGGAACCCAACTTGCAATCATGCAACAAAAACAACGATGCCCAGCCTTTGTGAGTAAATTCCTCTTCTCAACAATTTAAAAAGATGTCCTGGATAGTATCATGGTATTAGGAACAGTTCTTAAAAGTAGGATGACTTATTAAGGCTTCTGTAATGAAAAAACACAATCAAGTAGTGTCCCACATAGCTCAAGTTCCAGCTTTATCTCCCATGTTTACCAAGGATCTCTATCTGTGTCAAACTACACACTACAAAAAACATATAGCTAAACAGCACGTGTTAAATAAATACTTAATTCTTGACAATTTGCACACCAAAATAAATGAAGGAATCTGAGCTAGAATCCAAATTAAACTAAGTCTTCAAATACACCATTATTTAAAATAATCTTTTTCTAAATATGATGCAAACTTCTTGAAGAGAAATTCTTTAATATGAACATTAGCCTGATATATGACTGTCTATATCAGGGGTTTGGATAATTTAACTAAATGTGTATAGAATGAATTTGACCACGTCATCATGATTTCTGACTTTAGTCCTAACCTAAGCAATTGCCAAAGAACACCTTGTGCCTTTTCAAGGTGACAAGAGGAGGAAGGGAAAATAGAGAAGACTCTTTTTCAGCATTTTTTTTAACATTCAAAGGCTCCTATCTGATTTGCAAATCCCAAAAAAATTACAGAACTGGTGAAATTATGAGATCAGCAAATACTGTATTAATAATGAATCATGTTCATTATCATATTAGCTGCAATTGCTGGTTTAGCGGATTTAATTTAAATTATTTCTTCTTTTCATCTAAACACATGCAAGAGTGTATTTTCTGTGGTTTCCTGCAACAGCTAATCAGTTTAGCTTTTCTGTTTTTCAGTAAATGATCAGCCAGATTCTAGATTTCCAACTTAGCTGACGACAAAATGCAATGAAGGATTAACCTTTAAGTGTCACAGAATACAGAGTAAAAGCAAAGTCCACAGCATTTATAAAAACTTAGCTGATGTAGCATGAACATTTCACTGATAGTGTGTTCAGCTGAATCTGATTTTCTAATAGATCTAGAGAGCAGGACCAAGCTCATTATTTAATTAGAAAGATCAGTTAATGGAAGCTGATCTCCTCTGGAAGACTATCGGTCTGTTCTGAATATTTGGGAGCCCCTGCCATGCATTCTTATTCAGGACTGGATAAATGAGTTTTAGTGAACCACTGAAAGTATCAGACATGGACCACTATGGTCCCAGACAGTCAGTTTTAATACAGCAGGCTTAATCCTGCTTTAGGAAAGATGACTTCTAAACCTCGCAGTCACAAGTCATTAAGGTGGTACTAAAAGAAAACATTTTTTCAGCAGCTACACAAAATCTTCTCTTTTCTATTAAATTCAGCTTTTATTAAATATTTAACTTTATATAATTCAGCTACACCAGGCGTCAGCAAAATTTTCTGCTTCGCATACTAGGGAAATTGTTCATTTCAACAGCAAAGCGGCATGCCGCAGCAGTGAATTCTCTGCTAACAGAAGGTTCCCTGCAACCCAAGTAACATAGACAACAGATAAGCTAAAGTTTTTGCATGCATGCATTGTCTCTAAGTAAGAATTTAAGAAGACAAGTAAAAGCAGGAATTCAGGAAGCAGGATATGCTGCTCCACAGCATAAAGGACAGAAATGCAGTAGATCAGTGAAGGGGGGAAATTTCTGAATATGTCTCATGTCACCAGTTTAGCGTATGGAA